AGTATAGTATAATATAATCCTTGCTTTTAATTATTTCAGTTATTATTTTGATAATATTATTATATTATATATCATAATTATATAATATATTATATAATAATAGTTTTTTTGTATTATATTAATTATAATAATAAATATATATTATATTGTAATTATATATATATATATTATATTATAGTACAATATAATATAGTCGTAATTTTTTACTATCCACAGTAATTCAACCTTATAATTTATCAAACGCCATTACACTAATTTTGAAATGAGCACAGCTATTATAATTATAGTTTACCAAACACTCAGCTGCTTTTTGTAACAGCTGTTTCTTCCTTCAGCATAGCTAAAAGCAATTTTTTCAAAATCTATAGCACTACCAAACTAAGCCTTAATTATTTCCAAGAAGAGTACTGTTTTTCAGTAAGAATAGTCAGTGTTGGAATCATGAGGATAGTTTTTTTTTTTTTTTTTTCTCAAAAGGGCGTGAATTAATTTAAAATTAATCTTTTACCCTAATAATTTGTTCATATGTTGGTATCTTTCTTTTATTCTTCCAAACGAACTAACCTTGTAATTGGCCTTTGATTTAATATTTGAGGTTTAATTAAGTCTGATATATGAGTATACTTAAAAGTCAAAACTTGCGATACAATGCAATTGATTTTTCGTTTCAAAAAAAAAAATCTATGTATATATATTGTGAATATTATTTGGGGACAGAAGTGTATAGAGAGCTACTAAGAATGTGCTAAGATTTCTAGTTCAGCTCCAACATGAAAAAGACGACATTATTAAATTAATCAAAGCTGGTTTAAACTTTGAAGGTCGCATATCATTTCTTTTTAGTTACTTCCTACGCCATGAGCAACATTCCATGGCACAACAATTTCACATCAATTCAAATTAAACTGTTCATAAGCACGGCTAGCTAGCTAGGCCACACAGGTTCCATCTAGACGTGAACATGATACATAGATACATATATATGTGTGTGTACGTATATAGAGTATCAATTTTGTGGTCAAATGACATCATCCTAATGTTTGTTAAATTTGGTATGCATAGGTTAGCTCATCAATTATGATTCGTGAAAAAAGAAACATTAATTTAGCTTTTTTTTCCCATTAATCAGGTCATCGCTTATCCTCATGCAGATAAGTATATCCTACAACACACGATCCATCAGGCATAGGGTCTTGATAGCTGGCGTCAAATTCTCAGGACCAGCCATCGCGGAACTATCAATAAAACATTGGTGTTGCATTAAACCTGTTATTATTTTTTTAACGAAATTAATGATGAGAGAGAGCAATTATTTACGACATTTTAACTAGATTGGCACCTCGAGATCCTTAATCCCACACCGAGCTCTTCATTAAAAAAACTTATTATAATAATTAAAAGAAAAGACTACTCTAAAAAAGAGAAAAAGAGAGAGTGAGTCGGCTGGAATTTTGGGACCGCCTCCGGGTGCATCAACGGAATTCCGACTGTGAAACTTGGTCCCCAAATTCGTCTCATTGTCGTCTTTTATGTGGTGGTGGTAGTGTGGGAAGTGGTGCTTTCCTTGGAGTGGATCTAAAACGCTTTGGAGGTGGGGTGCCATTCATTTGGGCTATTGTCTCCAAATGTTCGCTGGATGGTGACTGTGCTCCTTTGGCATTTTGTTTCGTGCGGCAGTAAGTTTCTCTTGGAGGTAGTGTTTTCGATTGCCGGCGGCGGATGCAGAGAGGGTGAGTTCGACTTGCCGTTTTACGCCGTTTGCTCAACCTCGTTGTATCACCTTCAAAGTCCTCTACCTTTTCTGGTGGTGCTCTCGTCGATTGCCTCCTCGTCAAAATCACTTGACAATAGGTTTTGGGGTCTCTTTGTGTTTATTATGTTTTTGTTTTTGGTGTGTTTTTACTACAATAACTGGGATTTTCATCCCGTTGTCTTTGTTTGTTTTTGGTGTTTGTTGAACTGATGTCTTGGCGGTGTTTGGTGTAGCTTTAGTGTTATAATGTCTTATCCTTCCATTGCTGAAAAATTTATCTCGATGAGAGGAGTTTTATCAAATAGAGCCGTAGATATGCCTGATCTTAGTGTGCCGAGGTATTCTCCCATTTTTATGTCTCAAGTGTACGTCCGTTCCCCCGCTAAGTCATTAGCCTTCTATTGTATTTGTTACTTTGGTTTTGTTTAAATATAAGTTCCTTGAGTATGGGGTTTTATTAAAAAAAAAAAAAGACTTCGTTCCAAAAAAATGAGGGGAAAAAAAAAAAGAAACGAATAAGCTAATAAGAGAAAAACGTAGGCAGTTGTAAAGAAAATATAGGCGCAACATTCGCACGCAGGCGAAAAACAGAAGCAAAATAAAACATAAAACCAGCAGGACAAGAGTAGCATGGGAACAAAAACTGGGAATTGAATTGGTTATTAGGCTATGGGCAATACATAAGATATAATAGGATCAATGTTAAAGCGCACCAATAATACTGAGCACTATCTATTAGTAAAAGATAGATCTCGAAATATGAGGCACATTAGGAGACCCACCTTCTTTTAATAATGGTGCCCCATTTTCGATATTTTTCAACCATAAAAAGTCAAGCACTTTGTACGCCTGTCGCAGATTTGTTATCTGTTTAAATGACTATCAATTTTGAACCCACTTTGAATGTCCACCACTCAGCTCTGCTAGGGTGTAAGGGCTAAGGCGGCAAGGCCTAAGGAGGTGAGATATATGTGATGGAGTTTTGTCCTCCACGACACAACTGAAAACCATCCATATGTAGTTGTTAGTGACAATAATCTATAAACCAATTTACTGTACACTATCAGCTAATTAATTAATAACTTTAACAATATGAATGGTAAAAGAGGGGGGGATATGTCTCTTTCCCATCTCCTTACAAAATGGGGAATTAATGTTACATGATAAAGGTGATGAAGAAAGAAAATGACAATATCCTAACTTCTTGCTTCTCTTTAAATTGAAATAAACTACAAATTGACTTGAGGAACGCCAAACAAACAATTTCAGACTCTTATTTTGATGTTGCTTTTTTGTTCTGGGTATTTTAACATGCATTAGCTTAATTAATGCATTCAAGCAAATGTACTTCGTAACAAGTCATTTTTTTTTTTCCAAACATATTCACAAAAGCATCGTCTGTCTCTTAAACCCATGTTCACATTATATACGAAAACATCACCTTACTTCTTTTTCTTTACAAGATCGTCACCTTGTTTTGGCCACAAATTTCTCATAACAGCTTTACATAATCGGGCAAAAAAAAAAAAAAAGAAGAGAGAGAGAGAGACAAAAAACAACAGAGAAATTCTTTCATCCAGCTTAAGGATGTGGGCCGACGAAAATTGTTGCTATAGCTTTTTCTTTGTCTGTGACTTTTTTTTTGTTTTTTTTTTTTAAGTTGCTGGTATTGGCTTTCTAATCTTATTTTTCGTACTAAAGGTTTTGTCAAATATACTTTTTGTTTATTAGCGTTCTCCATCTCTCTTATTGTTGAACTTTTGTGTTTTTCTTTTCTTATTATAATATTGGATTTGATTACTTAGTAGAGGATAAGTCTAAAGAAGGATGCCAACCTAGTTAATAATTAGGATGTTTTCGTTTGCCTTAATACTAGTTGCTTTCTCTCAATTTATTTATAAAATACCACTAAGCAACGTCCATGCTCAAAGGTATAGAATTAATTAATTGCAAAGCAATGTTACATTTGAGATGAAAATTAAATTAGAAATGATATTTTCAGAGTTATGAAAAAAAGAGAATTGATTCTAAGTAACCTTTCAATAAGGGTATATAACATAAACACTAAAAAGGAATTTTCTATCCCTTCTAATTTCCAAAACCTTTCCCTTTCCCATTACGTTCGATCATGTAATGTAAAAGAGAGACATGATTTAACATTTAATCTTTTGGTTGGTCTCCCTAAGTTATGGTAAAAGTCTATTTAATCATTTAAGTTCTAGCTATACATAGCTAAACTTTAAATCAATTCCGATTATAGTAGAGCTAGAGTACTCGCTAAAAATTTACGTTAGCTCATTTTTAACATTTTAAAAAAGGGAAAAAAACCAGAAGTACTCAAAAAGTGTAAGGAACAATAATGAAATTAATCTTTGTTGTTATAGAAAGGAATTGTTTTCGTACATTTACAAACTGTATATCATTCTAAATTTATAACGTTAAAACAAAACAAAACTTTCACTGTGATTTAGCAATCAATCAAAGGAGTTTTTCCCTTAATTACACTACAAGAAAAAGAAATATTGCGAATACTCCTTTCCATGCCCTATTTATGTCAATCACTATACATTCTCTGATCCTCACCGCAGTTCACACTACTTGCTTAAATATTACTCTCTTCCATATTATTACTGAAATGTATGAGAGAGCCAACTCTTAGAATAAAATATTACTAGCTCAGTATCTTGTTAGAGCTTTACCACATTAATCAAACGTAGTGGTCTCAGAGCAGTCCAACAATTGATCTAAGAATCTATAATAAACTTGTATATTAAATCTTGGCCGTTAGTGAAAGCATTACTATAGGTTATGATCATCGAAACTTAATTGATCAGATAAGATATCAGTTCTTATCGGCGGCCTTTACACGATTGATCAAGTTGATGACAAGTTCCCCAAGGAAATATGCTTATAAACAAATTATCTAACATACTCAACAATCAACATTAATTTTAGTGAAGTATATAGTTTATCATACATATCAGAGAGAGAGTGAGAGAGAGAGAAAGTTATTCAAAAAGTATATATATATATATCGTTGGTCAAGAAAATTATACACATCGTGAACCAAGAAATACACATTAATACTCTTCTTGTACATAAAGGAAGAGTGGCGTACTACACATATGATAAGGATGACGTCTTTTCATAGGAACCCTATATATCAAAATGGAAATTTGACAAGTAGTACTATAAATCACATGACTGGAAAACTTCATATTACAATACTACAATGATCTTAAAATATACTGACGATCGAGAGAATTAGTAATTACATGAGCAAACTCTACCTTATGATGATCATGACGAAATTTTTGACCAAGAGTAGTACTAATTCAGCTCTGCATTAGTCTAACAATGGCCATTCTCATGGCCTCTTCACTTGGAAACCTATCAGGAACTCTCACCACAACATCTTGAAGCACCAACTCCTTAACGCTCGATACACTCACATGAAGAATCTGAAACTCGAGATCTCGCAAAGCGTTCATCAACCGCGCCGGCGGGTAATTCACATCCGGGCACTGAACTCTGATCATCGCTTCCGTTCCCACAATCTTCACATCCACTTCCATGGCACCAACCGATCCATAACTCGAATATTTTCTCTTGTGTTCCACAATATTGTATGTGCTTTGGCTCTCAAACTTAGGAGTACTATTACACATTGTGATCCCCATTTTGAGTGGTCTATTCGATTGCGATAGGTGGACTTGTGTCTCCAGTTCATTGATCTTGCTCTTGAGTTCGTTGATGTAAACGACGGCGTCGGCGAGTAGAGAGGCTTTGTCCATTTTCGACACGTTGGGAACGACCGACCGGAGAGCGTAGAACCGGTGGTTGAGCTTTTCCCTCCGTTGTCTCTCCGCTTCAACGTGGTTTACCGGCAAAGAATTGCCAATCACCGGCTTTCTCCCTCTCTTCTTGATCCGATTGCCTCCAGTTATCGCGGACGCAAAGTATCCGTCGGAGTCTGAAGGCCCAGAATCCGATGAAGATCCACCTAAATTACGTGATCGTATAGATATACACAAATCTGAGTAACAAAAAAATATAGATACAAATCTAAATAATTATATTTTATGAATGCAAACGGAACAACTAATATCAAACGCTCTTTAGCACATCCAACTAAGTAAGCACGGACACTAAGAAAATCGAAGTATGTATACAAAATAGATATGAATTTTCTTCTTTCTATTAGTAAATTAGAGTGAAAGAGTTGATAGTTGTTTAATGAATATTAACCTGATTGATCGGATGTGCTAAGCCTTTTTAATATCAGTTTCTCTTTCTAAAACAACAGGCCGTCTCATTTGTGTGCTAAGTAAAAAACAAATAAGTAAGAAGATATATATATATATATTATATCGACTTTTTTGTATAAATAATTACCGGTTACAACGTGTTTCTTGGCAATATCTTCTGGTTGCTTATTTGGATCTTCCAGAGTGGACTCGTTTCTACCAGATCCAGAAGGCATTATTCCAATGTCAAGTAGAGGAAAATTATCTCTAATATTTGAGATCTGATTTTGGATAGAATTCTGCCTTTGGATAATATTCGGAGAAATATTGTTAATTGGAACCCCAGAAGAACCAAGAAGCGATTTGGCTAACTGTACAAGGCTCCAATCCTCTTTGATCAAATCCGAAGAGCCCAATTCAAGAACACCATTCGGCGTCGCAATGCAAACCAAGGTCTGAATCCCATGCATGCGAGCCTCCTTCACTCTCTCGCACTCGTACAACAAAAGCTCCTCGCTCCCCGTCAGCCAAACGTACGCGCCGGAGCTGAACGACCGCCCGATGGCCCCACTCTCCGCCGCAAAAGTCCTCGAGAGTGACACCGTGTAGAACCACTCAATATCGGAGAGGACATCGACGTCCATCTCCTGACCGCTGTCGTTGCCGAATAGGGCCTGGATGTCTCCGACCCTGCTCGTTGTGCTCGCCTTCTTCTCCAAATCGAACCCGAAAACCGTTTCGACGACGTCATTTCCCTTTCGAGCGACGTCGTTTTTAGTGCCGCGGAAGTATCCTCCGTTCCACGACAGCGAAACGTCGCCCTTGCTGCCGATTGTCACGTCTTTGTAGGCTTGCCAGAAGATGGAATAAACCCACCATTCGGGTCGGGTTTGGAGTATGAACTGGAGTCGTTGTTGGATCGTTGGTTTCGTTTGGTGGTGGTCTTGTTGGCTTATTGGCACAAGTGATGAAGAAGAACAAGAAGATATAATCTCTTCCATATCTCCAAAGTAAAAAAAAGACTGAAAATGGAGATAAATAACAGTACTAAAAGTGGAAAATATATAGAGAAGATTTTGAGTGACAAGGGCACGTTATTATTGATGTCTTGACTGTTTGATTGCAACTGTTTATTTGGGCCTCGTTTTCTTCATACACACGTGATAAACACATGATATCCATCTTGACCGATTGAGGGTGTTTATGTACATATCCTTGCCATTATGCACTTCTCTTTTATTAAATTATTATTGTTAGGGCTTTGTAAAAATAACTCAATAGAAAAGTTTTATTAGTAAAATAACTTTTTAAAAATTTTTATTTGTAAAATGACTACTTTTTACAAAGAATGATTAGGTGGTCATTCTTCATAAAAAATGAAGAAGGTCATTTTACTAATTTCATTTTGTTGGATAGTCATTCTAGCATATTGCCCCATTAAATATTATGCATTTGTTGGAGGTTGAATCGGGACTTCGAAACGCCTATGATTCTAGAAATAAAATTCGATTTCGACCACCTTTTGATGAATATGACATCTGTTTTGCCTTTTCTTTTCTGGGAATGATCAAACGATAAAAAGGACCGGACTCATTAAGGGTATATTGTGATGAAGTTGCTCTTTTACGGCCTATGTCTAAATATGATGGTTATATGATACCTCTTGTTTTAACTTAATTTTCCGTGACAAGGTTAAAAAATCATGGTTAATTGGCTATTTATAGTAGCAATCTGTTAATTACATCATTGGAATTACTACAGTAAATTTTTTATGTTTATATATCACGCATGCAAATTTAATGATATAAAAGATCATTGATTTGGTTCGAACATCATATCATCGTCTCTAATTATGATTGACCTTTGATGGTCCCACGTTCTAATCAGAGTGCTTAAATTTCAAACTAGCTACTGCTTATGCTTTCACGGTTAAGAAATAATGTTACATAGCATTTTTTTTTTTTTTTTTTTTTTTACTGAAGTCTCAAACGCAATAACATTATTATTGGAATATTTCAAGTGTTATAGGTGTCGGACCAAGATGGTTAAAAAAGATAGGGAGAGACGGGAAGGATATATATATAGACACATGCATGTATTAATCTTTAGTTGCCATATGGACTTCAAGTGCGGCAATTACATATATACCAGTACCCATTTTTTAATTTTGACTTTCAAGAATCAAGAGACGTCTTTTTTTTTGTTTATATATATAGATATATATATATATATATATAGAGAGAGAGAGAGAGAGAGAGAGAGAGAGA